CGAGCCAATATGTCGCCTCCTCTTCTTCGTACCTCCAGTGAAGTAACGGAAGCCAGCAACGGGAGGCGCCATCTTTCCAAGGGCGTCTGCTAGCGTGAACGCCGCGACGCTTGCCAGTGTCGGTCGCGTCCTTGCGGAGGTCGACGCCGAGAGCTGACAGACGTCGCCTGGCTAACCCTAGGCGGCTCCGACGAGTCTTGGTACACGCTCGGCCTGAGATTGTATTGAAGCTTCCCTGAGCGAAGCGAAGGGTTAACGTGCGCAACCCGGTCTGTTTGGCACCCCAGCTTGGAGCCCAAGCTAGCGTTTTGCGTTGGTAGCAGAGTGCACTCGGAAGATGGCGCGGCTGTAGCTGGCCTCATGCGCTGCGTTCTCGTGCGCGTGTATTGACATTCGGTGACCATACCAGACGGACTTAATTGTGCGGAAGGAGACGGTCGTGTATCGAGATTAGGTGCGTAGTCGGGCTCTTCCGCCGTGCTTTTTGATGGGCGGAATGTTAACAAAAAGAGTTCGAGATAAAGACTTAAAGCAAATGGGCCAAAAATATCGAACTGCCCAGTAATCTTGATGAGCAATCGCTGAAGAGTACTTAGGTCCGCTTGAGATAGGGTAATTTCGCCAAGCAACTTGACTTCGCAACACCGGCAACACGGGGGCGTCCGCGTGCACAGGCAGCAACCAATCGCTGCAATTTTCCATCATCATCATTAAATTTTATTTTTCTTACACTAGTTAGAAACACATTTACTTCCTATAAACGTGTTTTTATACTTTTGAATTGCGTTGAGAATGCTAACTAATCTTTTTAAAACGCTGTATTTCAAGAAAGCGATTGATTTCAAACCAGATCAGTCTTTAGTTGTCATCATCAGCGGCACGATGCATCGCGTGAAAATATCGCGTCCCTGATTAGCTGCTGCCGCTTCAAACGACTTCGATTCGAGTTGCTCCGAGCTGCTCGCTTGTTTCGATGCGCACCCGATCTCAGAAATTCGTGTCGATCTAGGGAAGGCCAGGGAACAATCCGCCAGCAACCCCGAAATTGCGGAGAACGTTGTTCCGTCTGAGGCGGGCCTTACAAACTACGATCTCTAAAACATTACTTAACATAACAATATGAAATCGTCTGCAGAGATAATTGAAAATGCGTCAGAGAAACACGGCGAAAGAAGTGGCAGTACGAACAAGTAACCTGCTTGAGTACAAATATGACATCAGGGCAAAAGCTTGCCCGACAAACAGCCAATTCTGTGAATACCCGCTAAAAAGCAGGTGGTACATTTGTTGTATCAGTTTTAGAGTGGATCGCGTTTTGCTATTTGTGTAATATTTGGTTAGTGCTCGTATTTATTCTCCGTCAATCAATGTCAGTAATTTATTTCAGTTCGAGTTTTGACCAGAATAACCCTTAGAGAAATCGACAAATTAAGGTTATGCCGCAACCTACATTCGAATTTTCGCCGCGCACCCCACTCAGGCCACGTCCCATATTGTATAACTTGGAAGTTGAGCAGGCAGTCTAAAACAGTATATTCTGCGCATTTCTGGTTAGTTTTACGGACCTGAGCTTCGCCCGCATTTACTTCACGTCATCAAAGCTCTTGTAACCCGTGGGGAACGAACTGTTCGACTCTCATCTTCCAAGATCCGATGTCACGCTTCCAATGTCGCCTTTAGAGCCTTTGGGACCAAAGTTTAAAATTTAATAACTCCCCGAAACGAAAGAAAAATCCCGACTCGTAATTTCGGTTATACGTTTCGATGTGCATAATAATTTGTTGAACCAATTTTGAGGCAAATCAGGGACCATCAAGCTTTCTCCGGAGCTCCCTTTTAAACCGACATTGAGCGGGAGTGGGACAGGAGAGAGACGACCCTTTTGAAAGGCATTTCGCTCTCGCATAAGACGCGTTGCGCTTGCGCAAAGAATTGCGTAATCAGTCGAGCGAATCAGGGGGTCGTTGGCGCCCCGCCGAGAGACGTGCATTGTGTCCGAGGTACTACCCGCCGCTCCAGAAAGCAGGAGAGACAACTACAAAAGGTGCGTTGACCACCGGAAAAACAAAACAAAAAATAAATAATTTTTTTTTTATGGTGTAGTTTGTTTTTGAGGCGCAGACGGGTGCGCCGTGCCACATTTTCTCCAGAGTGCTATCACTTCCGGGTGAAGGAAAACGACTTTCTCCCAGCTGAAAACACGGTTAACTCGTCGGGTCAGCCGCCAGAGGCGGGGTACTCTCGTCGGAAGGATAGAGAGCCTCGATCTAAAAGAGGAAGCAACTCAAAATCACGGAGAGTGTTTCCAATTTTAATGGCGGACACATCCTGCGCAGATTTGGTGCTCACCAGGTAACACGCCAGATATGCTCCTAGCTGGGTTCGAGCTTGGGAATCCCAGGGGCCTGACTTGAGCCTAATAAGGTTTTGTTCCAAGGCGTTATAGTTAGTGTTAGAATACTTTTCCTCTGGCGTTTCTAGGGGGTTTTCTTCTGGCTCGTCACATGATTGTCAAAGTGCCACGGACTTTAGCCAAAGGTGCCGTGCGTATGAACCGAAGAACCAGCAGTAAAATCTAAATCTGGCACTTGTCTGGAAATTTTGGCCCAGAATTGCCACGTGAAGAAAATCGAACAACCAGAAGTGAAGAAGCCTAACTCTGGCCCTTGTTCTTGGAGATTTTGGCCCAAAGATGCCAGATGACAGCCAAAATTCTACCAGTAGTGAAGCGTATAGCGTTGCCACTTGCTCGGCCAATTAAGGCCCAAATAACCCAGACTTTGGCTTAAGAAGGTCAAGTTCGCCTCTACCTTAACTTCTGGGGACTTTTTAAAACCCTTAGGGTAAAAAAAAAAAAATTAGAACTGTGTTATCTTGTGACTTGCATGCGGGAGGTGCCACTTAAGGAGGAAGAGAGCGAGTGGAGACGCTGAGCAAAGGTTGGAGACGCTTGCTTCACGATCAACGCTCCTCGAACCACGTGACCTCAATCGAGTAGCATGAAACACTTTGAAATCCAGGCACGCTTCGGAAGCAGACACACCGCAGCGAGAGTGACCCAGCGACACAGTGAACCGCCCTGCATCTCGCGTTGTGAGGCGGCAGTGGGTGATTCCGGTGACATCATTCCTTCTAATCACTCCGGTCGCAACGGCGGCTATCGGGCCTTTCTTTCTTCTCGAGCGAGGACCGCGGCGTTTGTGTTTTTGGGGTTTGTGGGACTCGGGGTGGCTTGTAACTAAGCGGTTTCTTCTCCTTCGCCGAGCTCAGCGGTAAAGACACCGTATCCCTGCACGCGCGAAGTATCGTACTAGATCAATGGCTGCAGTCGGAAAGACGAAGAAACCAAATTGTACGACGGCTTCAGGGTGTGAGGTTGTTGTCGTTTAAATGACAGCCTCACGGACAACCGCAATGAGTATATACCGAGCGGGTCAGAGCGGCGGGCATGACGTCCGAATTTTTCAAATTTGTCTGGTGCAGCTTAGTGAGGAGCAATATAGTTTACCGCCCAAAAAGTCGCGTTCTTGCAAACATTTTTTCCAGTTGTGAGATAAGAAATGTCAGAAACCCAGGGTGTGCGTCATTTTGTTATCCTTTTCGCGTTCGATGCGCGGGAACATTGCTCCATTCCGGTATGACCACTCGATCGCAATAAATGCAATACAAATTGTAGTCCCTAGATGACCAGACAATGACATAAAGGGGAAATACCCTTCTTTATTAACGAGGATATCGGTCAGTTGGGGTCAGACTTTCCTCTGGCTTCAGTCACCGTGCAGGACGGCAGTGATTACCGCTAATGCTTATCTTCGAGATTGATTTTAAAGATCCTTAATTGTTTCCAAATAATCAACGTTGAGCTTTGGAATAAAAGTTGTCTTTGGTAGCGAACATAGCTCGCGACCTTTTGCCGTACTTCAGGGCTAGCAGCAAACTTTGTTTTACAATCCTGGTTTTTCTCTATTAGTCAATCAAGGCTTGTATTAATAGTCGTGGCCGAAATAATTATCAATAAATATTCCAAGTTCATACTTTAGTTTTTAGCCTTTGTTCCCTTTTGTCGTGCTTAGTAGCTTCAAGGTAATCCGCTTAAGTATGAGAGTGCGAATATGAAATTGATCGAAGATTCTATAATCAGAAAATTACGTATGCAATGTCCACGAGAAGGTGATTCGCAAACGCGACATCCACAAGCTGTTATTTTCCGTGTTCGACACTGGAATCTAATCACCGACTTCCCGAACACGTGGTTGCTTGTGTGGATTTAAGACAAGTATTGCACCCGGCATTGACCCTTGCGCATCTAATGACAAGCGTCGAGACAGGCTCCAAAAGCGGGTTGGTTTATGCGTAAAGTTTCTTCCTTGAAGCTAGCGCCGTTGGAAACACGCCACGCATCAAGATTCCCCTCGCGTGACACGTTTGTCGTTTCAGGACGTCATCGTCGCGCTTCCTTTCGCGTGTTCCACTGTCTTGCTCTGTCGCACACTGCAGGCAAATAAAGGCTAAAACAGGACCGCAGACAAGACGTACGAGTTGCTTTTTGTTCCGCCAATTTTGCTCGAAGTAATCCGTCGACAGGCGCAATTTCGGTGCCCGGAACAAGATGGTTAGGGCTTCGGAGCCTGCATACGAATGGTGGGCGTATGCATTATTAATGCTCTCACGGACACTGCACACGAGTCTCGTGCGTTGATGTGTATCGGTCCGGTCCTCTGACATTTGTGGTAGCGCACACCAAAACCGGTTTTTGGGTTGTGGGGGCAGACGGTGGAGCGAACGAAACCGAAACAAGGTCCGCCGGCAGGCAGGAAACGCGACTTCCTATTCCTCCTCGCACGTACGCACGTCCCTCGCAAGCCCCGACCCCAATCGAGGACCACGGGGAAGTCAGCCGTCTCAGCTGGAGTCGCTCAAACGTCGAAGATCGACGAGACAGACGGCAGCTCCAGGTCTCGTCCCCGGCAGTGTGCTTCAAAATGCAAGAGGATACCAGGATGCCGACCAACTTCTCCGAAGCATGGCAGTTTCTCATGTCCAAGCGAGACCCAAGGACAGCGGACATGCTGTTTGTGGGCGACGTGCGCTTCATCGTGGTCGTCCTGGGACTCTATCTCTACATCGTGTACCACGGAGGGCCGAAATTTATGAAGAACCGGGAACCCTACAACCTGAAACCGGCGATCATGACGTACAACTTCGCGATGGTCTTCCTGAACGCATTCTTTATGGTCAAGTTCTTCCAGCACTCTTTCGTGTATGGAGGATATAGCTTCTTTTGTCAAGGGATGACGCACGCCACGGACAAGCACTCGCTGATCCTGCTCGACTACGCTTGGTGGTACCTCTTTGTCCGGATCGCCGACTTTCTGGACACCTTCTTCTTCATCTTGCGGAAGAAATACTCACATCTCTCCGCCCTCCACGTTTCCCACCACGGGCTGGTGGTGTGGAGCGGATGGCTATGGATGGCCTTCGGCAGCGATGGTCAGCCCATACTCGGACTTTGTGTGAATGCCGGGATGCATGTCATCATGTACACTTACTACTTCCTGGCTGCCCTTGGGCCCAAAGTGCAGAAGTACCTCTGGTGGAAGAAGTACATCACCACGCTCCAGATCACGCAATTCGTGGTCCTGCTCATGCACATCTGCATTCCGCTCGTGTACGATTGTGGCTATCCGGGCGTCATGATCGCAATGGCGTTTGCCCAGGGTCTTCTGGGTCTTGTGCTCTTCATCAACTTCTATATTCACGAGTACATGAAGCGGAAGGTGCTCAAAAATCCCGTCAAGATGCTGGACAACATGTGCGTGACCCAGTCGCAGACTCCCGCAAAGGTTTCTGGTGATAGGCCGAAAAAGGCGTGATCGGATTGGACTCAGACTTTTGGTGATGCATGGGTGACGATTCGGTGCTTCTGTGCTTGACTTGAGATTCAATGACATTGTTATTGTTTTGTTCGTTGTAGAACTTTCATTGGAGAAAGGTTTGTTCTTGTTTCGGTATTGCATGTTCTTCTTGAACTGTCTATAACGTCAACGCCCCCTCTACAGGTGTCGTTGGCTTCCTCGGCTGAATTTTGGAGAGATCACGGATTGTTAGTCATGTCTGATAAATATTGTTGCACAAAAAGGTATAACTGGTCTTGTGAGAGCAAATGATTATCTCGTGTTGCGTGGGAATTCGTTTTATTTTTGCACCACGTTCTTTCAGAGGAACATACAATTTAACGTCTAAAAAAAAGTACAGCACAGAAAAGCAAATTGTTGTGTGTATGTTTATACAGCCGAAAGTTAGTCTGCCTCAGTGGGCGTCCGGTGTCTCATATGTCAATAAGCAATTTGGCCAGTGCGGTACAACCGCTTGTCTGCAGTCTTTAACGTGCACCACACAGTAGTGATACACGACCGCACGTCGGTACGATGCTCATACAGGTTGAAACAGGCAGGACTGGGGATTGACGTCAGGATCCTGGGTTCTGCAGCGCGAGTTTTCGCTCCACGTGTTCCGAGCTGGAGCCCTAATCTGGACATTTGACGAGAAAGTCGGCGAGAAATCTGGCGGCCGTGATTGGCCAACGCCGCACTTGACCTTGGCGCCGGCCAATCATAGCCGCCAGAGGCTCGCCGACTTTTCCGCCAAGTGTCCAGGTTAGGGCCCCTGGTGTGCGCTACTGCCACTAAATACGTTACGCTTCAGAGTAACGAGACTTGGCCATAATGTGGTGTAAGATCATGGTTGCCAGTTATCTGACGCTTTATCTGAAATCACAGGAAACGCTTTTCCGTCCTCCGAAAAGTTTGAAACGGTTCGAGACAAAGCAAAGCAATATTACATGAGCTTCCTAACACCGAATCTAATGCTGAGGAAGTCGCACTTTCGAATCATGACGATCGACAGTTGCGTCTGCTCTGCACAAGCACCTAGATGGCGGCGTCCACAACAATGTCGGGGAACGGAGGGCCGATACTCTAAGCGCTGCTCATTTAGCGGCTATAGACCTTTCCAGTGGCGGTCTCGAACGAAGCGATTTACAGCGCGCGTCCCTGGTTTTGAGAGGGTACGTCAGTGTTGCCCGACTGTGCTGGGCTGTGGGTTTTCTAGTCAGTGAGCTGTGGCAGCCTGCGTAGGCGCACTTCCGGACGATGGTGGAGGCTAAATTGCCGCGTTCTCTTTTTTATTGTGTTTTCTAGGGCAAACAGAATTTCTCGGAGTTTTTAAGAATGCATTGTACAATATTTTGGGAACAAAAACATAGAAATGAAAGCTGTTTTGGTGAGTCCGTGCGCGACAGAACAAATGCAACTGGAATGTTTGTTTTATTTTACGTTGATCTGTTTAAGGCACCATACACCCAGCCGTGTCAATCTACAAAGGTCTTAACCGTCGACAGTATTTGACCACACAGGATATCTGAACTCCATTGATATTTCTTGCCCACAACGTGAAATTCAACGAGACTAAATCGAAAAACATATATTGTACGTACCCCACGGTGCCACGTTATCCGAACAGGAGTTGAGAAAGGTATCAAATAACACAGCATATCCAATATACAGTGTCGACGATAGTCACTTCACGGCGATCGGACGGAATCCGGCGTGTTTTGGGGCACATGTAGAAGAGAGTTGCTTTTTTGCACAGCTTCAAAGCAAATGAACGAACGTGTCTATTCCGTCCCCACACCCCGGACCCGACCCTATCAGCTATTTTTCGCGAAGACCGAGAACATAAAAGAAGGCTCTTTATAAATTATCGCAACGGAAATAATCCTCCAAGAACGTCTAACTGCCTGCGTCGCGGGCTGCTTGACGTTCGCTCTCTTCGTTTGTTTCCTGCGAAGGCTGAGCAGGCTATGAGCTCTGGTATTCCCTTGTTCTCAGAGTGCAAGATAACACACAAAGGGTAAGCATCTTGAACAGGTAAATAAAGTAAAAACTTCCAAGAAAAGCCGGTGAACTTCGAATGCACAATGCAGGGGGGGGAGTCCCACTGACCGGGTTTCCACAGCTCAGGCGGGTGGCAGAACTTTCTGGCTGATAGGGGTCGCTGGACTCAGAAAATGACGGCGGCCAGAGAGCTCTTTTTGCAAAGGTCTATAGTGTGCGCTAGCCCACTCGACCCGCCCTCCCCCCCCCTCCCCCCTCCCCCCCCCCCCCCCGCCCCCCCACCACAGCAGAGAAAAGAACACAAAAACGTTGAACCTGCGAACATGCTTGCATAATGAACGAAATATTTGTTTTGCCATTGTTGCGGCTTTTTGTTTTAGTAATAGTGGCGGCTTTTAATTCTACACGATGCTCAAACTTCATCGTTGGTTCTAGTACAGGAGTGTTTAGTTGGAGTTACTTCTAAAACAAAATTCGCACAAAGAGCAGTTGTTTAACTTTCTCGGCGCTAATGTGAAGTGTAAAAGACCATATGCGAAATGTAGAGCGCCATCTAGCAGCGCGCCGAGACAACTACGTCCGCCATCTTGTTAGTGGCGAGAAAACGAAACCAGAGACCCGATCGGCAAAGACCCCATGTATACAAGCGACCGCGCTTCGTGCGAAAGATGCGATGCCAACGATTGCTGCGTTCCGCTGCGGATGCAGCGATAAACCTTTGATTCATGCGTGACGTGAACGCAAACGTAAACACGGTTCACCTTTTTCCTTGTTTTTGTTTGTTACCTGTGACGCAGCTTTTGACAAAAACAATCGGCGACAACGCGAAGTAACATGCATGCGGACGTTATCGCGCGGCGTGAAGCCATTTACAACTATTGAACTGGGCCCTAATCTCTCCGCGAAGTTGTACCGAATATGACCTTTTTCCTTTTATGTAAGTTGTAGTGTCGGCTTGGCCTTTTTCTTGATGCGCAAGCAGCTCAATGCATGCGGACGAGACCAAGGCTGTTAATTGAGGCAAAAATATGCCTGTTTTAATAATCTACGCCACCAACCGTAATTGAAGATGCGAATGGTTAACAGTGGTATGGTTAGGTTCATCGCAGTGGCTAAAACTTCGATGTCGGCGGCGGCAAAAACTTACGTTACGGACGTCGAATGAAGCAACACGGGCGGTGCCAACTTCATTTTACAACCTCCTTTTTTCTTTTTTTGTCACAGCCGAGGTAGAGAGAGAGAGAAATAACTTTATGAAATTATGTTTTGTGCAAGGAAGCTCGGAGTAGTTTTGAGAAAGTCACTGCAGTTATTCTTCCAGGGTTGAACAAATCTTCATTAATAGCGCAACATACGTCAACTGTGCTTGAGGTCAATGCTATCTGAAACCAATTTTAGCCCTTTGCAACGCTTGAAAAATATTGTGGCACAGTTTCTTTTAGGAGGACATAAAGCGTTCCACCTAAAAATCTTCCGCCAGTAACAACAACAACAAAAAAAACAATCTTGAGTTATGTATTTGCGTGGAGCCGTACACCGCTAAACAGTACGACTTCAAGCGTATTCGCATCGAAAAACAATTAAAAGTGTACTCAAAGATGAAAGGCATGACGGCCTAGTCTTTTCGGAGGCCTGCGCACACGCTGGCGACAACCCGCAGTGTGTAAGCTTTCACAGCGAAGGCGTAGGACTTGCTCCGCTGCTTCGACGAGGTTGTCGCCAGCGTGCACAAGCCTCCGAGAGTTTTGTCAGACAGTAGCGGTAGGTTGTTTAAACTGCTCGTCCACATAATATGGTCAGAAGGCGGAAAACAGTTGATGCGCCATTGCGCATTGCCCGTACGACTCTCTCCGATGCTTCCACTGTGCTTTGAAACCGACGCTTGCCAACATGAAAATGGCGACGCTCTCAGTGTTGCCAGACCACAAAGAAATTTCGCATAAGTTCTATTTTGCCATTGTTGCGACTTTTTGTTTTGGTAATAGTGGCGGTTTTTAATTCTACACGATGCTCAAACTTCATCGTTGGGTCTAATACAGGAGTGTTTAGTTGGAGTTACTTCTAAAACAAAATTCCCACAAACAGTAATTGTTTAACTTTCTTGGCGCTAATGTAAAATGTAATTATAAGTTGCTTTACAATTTTGAACTGTACTAAATATTCAAATGAAAGTGTGCCTCAGTTGTTCCGAGCTTGAAGATTGGCGGCATGTCCGACATTTACTGGAACGTGTGAGTATCAAGTACCTACGATGAAAGCCAAAGTTCACGCCGTTCATGCTTCCATCCTCACACACGCAATCAATTCTGAAGTCAGAAAACCTTCGGATGCTGGGTGAATTTGTTTTTAATACTGCATACCTCCTCCAGCAAACGCAGAATGGAACCTTGCAGGTTCCCAAGTTTTAGCATCTATAATCAACCTAAATTTGTACGTACTATGCCACTCGCTGGTTGATAATTTCGTTTCCACTTTTTCGCTATCCTCCTTGAAAAAGAAGTCATTGTCAGATTTTTCAAGTCGAGTTCATAATTAACTGAAGATTTTTCCGTCTGATTAGTAATCCAATATTGTTTTTGACTTCAAAATGCCGATCAGATATAATATTTATTTCAAAGTGAGATAGAAGTTTATACAATTTCTTATTATTTAGTTCACATTGCACTGTTTATTGTTACTGATATTGAGTAGTCATCGATAATAACGTTATACTAGCGCTTGAATTCAAATGAGTCCATTCATTTAACCTCTTTCGCTTTGATTCGTACTTCATATGCAGAAGCTATGCAAAGGGCAATGAACTGTTCACGAAGCAAATTCATTGTTTCCTATGCTGTTGCTCACAAGCAAGCAACATATAAACTGCATGTAAAGGCCCGTTCACACAACTGTGTTTGACAACATCCGACTGAGACAAGACTGGTTTTGAAGCTGCTTGGGACGGCTTAGGACCAGCTCCGCAGCAGCGCATCCGGTCG